CTGCCTAAGCCGAGCAGGTTGAGGCTATGGTGGCCATGAGCGTGCCACTGTGTTCCAGCCTGGACGAAAGATCGAGACTCCAACTCAAAAAAAAAAAAAACAAAATTAACTGGGTATGGTGGTGCATGCCTGTAGTTCCAGCTACTTGGAAGGCTGAGATGGAAGACTCAACTGAACCCAGCAGCTCTAGGCTCTGGGGTGACTGTGTATGTGCCACTACACTCCAGCCTGGGTGACAGAGTGAGACTCTGACTCAAAAAAAAGAAAAAAAGGTAAGACTTTGGAGTTTTTCAAAAGAAAAAAACGTGAACACAAAGGACAGAAGCAATTATTATTATTTTTTTGCCTCCTCCTCTTAACCTCTCAGAAGCAATTATTGAAGGCCATCACGTCATCAAATGTATCTGCACCGAGAACATCGTTCTTAGTGGCTAACCTCATTCCTAAAGCCAAGAAGCCCTTTACTAGGTGAAGAGTTGATCCTGCCTGCTGCTAAGGACATTTGTTGTCAACTTTTAAGAGAGGCTACAGTTCAAAAGGTGACACATGTTCCTCATTTGGCTAGCACAACTAGACAAATTGATGAAACAGCAGAGAGTATTAAGGCACAAGTTAGAAAGGATTAATCCATCACTGTGTATACAATTCAGGTTTGAGTCTACCGATGTTGACAAAGCAACAATGCTTGTTTTTGTGTGATGTATTTTTTCAAGAGAATGTGCCTGAGGATAGGTTATGTGCATTTTTGTTGCCAACCAATACAGCTGCAGAACTGTTCAAGGCTTTGAATGATTACTATCAGGAGAACCGAATTGGTCATTTTGTATCGGTATGTGTACAGACTGAGCCGCTGCAATGACTGAATGGCTTTCTGGTTTCACAACCTGGGTCAAAGATGGTGCTTCTGAATGTGAGTCTACACACTTTGTCCTCCACAGAGAAATGCTGGCTAGCCAGAAAATGTCACCTGAATTTAACAACGTTTTGCAGGACGTGATTAAAATTATTAACTACGCTAATGTGCATGCCCTTAATTCACATCTGTTCGTGCTGCTCTGTGAGGAGATGGATGCAGAGCACACACGATTTCTCTTATACACAGAAGTGAGATGGTTTTCTTTTTTTTTTTTTTGAGGTGGAGTCTCACTCTGTCGCCCAGACTGGAGTGCAGTGGCTGCTCCCGGCCACCGCAGCCTCTACCTGCTGGGCTCCGGCGATCCTTCCGCCTCAGCCTTCCAAGTAGCTGGAACTATAGGCGCAGTACCACGCCCGGCTAATTTTTTGATTTATTGTAGAGATGAGGTCTCACCAAGTTGCCCAGGCGGGTCTCGAACCCGCGGGCTCAGGCAATCTACTCACCTCAGTCTCCCAAAGTGCGGGATTACAGGCTGAGCCACTGAGTCCGGCAACATTTTTTTTCATAGTGTGTGGAAGAAGTTTATTTACAGATGTGGGGAGAACATGGAGAGGGCCCTGGGGCTGCCAGCAAGGGGGCAGTCATCGCAGACTGAAAACAAATCCCCAAGCCAGGTCCCAGGCTTATTTTTTTTTGAGTTGGAGTCTCACTCTGTCGCCCACGCTGGAGTGCAGTGGCACACTCACACTCACAGCCACTACAGTCTCGACCTGCTGGGCTTAGGAGATCCTTCTGCCTTAGCTTCCAAGTAGCTGGAACTACAGGTGTATGCTACCATGCCCGACTAGGTCCCAGGCTTTCTAAAGGTAGATCACTGTCCAGAGTTTTTCAGTTAGGAGAGCTGCTCCAGAAATTTTAGAAAAACAGTCACTGCTGGCAGCACATTTCTGTGACACAGAATAGGTCACAAGACTTGTGTAAGGTCAGGCTCAAGCCTGTAATCTCAGCACTTTGAGAGGCCAAGGTGAGAGAATTGCCTGAGCCCATGGGTTCATGACCAGCCTGGGCATCTTGGCGAGATCTCATCTCTACAATAAATTCAAAATTAGACAGGTGTGGTAGCGCACCTGTAGTTCCAGCTACTTGAAAGGCTGAGGCAGAAGGATCACCTGAGCCCAGCGGGTCGATGCTGGGGTGGCTGTGAGTGTGCCACTGCACTCCAGCCTGGGTGACAGAGTGAGACTCCAACTCAAAAAAAAAAAAAACAACTTGCTTACTTGTGTAATATATTCAGCCTGCTCAATGAACTCAATCTGTCACATCAGGAGAGAACTCTGGCCTGGTTCGATAAATGTTAGCTGCTGGCTTCTGCTCATTCACCGTTTAAGGAGTGGCTATCCAGGGCCTGGACTGAGTCCTGGGGGCCCCATAGTGTCTGAGGTGGACTCCAAAGCCTGGAGTGATCCAGGACTCCACAGCAGCCTCCCCAAGGTCAGAACAAAGGCTGGTCCTCCCCTCTTCTGCCCCCAGCTGTACATTTCCAGCTGAAGGAAAGTTCCCAGCCATGCCTGGGCTCTCAGCGACACTGGAATTCCCAATATCCGAGGAGGCAGGGAGGGATAAAGGGCTGTCTACTCCAAGGCCTGAAGCTGGGAAGGAGGCGAGCTGCTCTCCAGATATGGCTCAGTTGTGCCTCTAGGAGAGAGCCAGGAGCCTCAATAAGGGGGTCTCTAGACCCTCTAGGAAAACCATGAGCACCAGGTCTACCTCCAGCCTCTCCTCCTGGTGTCTATTAATTTCTTTTTTTGTCTGTGAATTTTATTTCTCCCTCCCGTCCAACTCCTACCTCTGCTTCACGGCCCCAATTCCACTGCCTCCTCAGGAATACCTTTCCTGCTGGCCCACCAGTTAGGAGCCCAATCTTCTTTAGAGCTACAGTTAAATCAAGTACAACAGGATAAATGTGGTGCCTGCTACCCTCTTTGGGAAACTTAGGTTAATGCCAGCTAAACTCAGTTCACCCAAGTTAACTCCCGCTCCAATACAAAACCTGGTGAGCTGCAGAATGGTCTTCTGCTGCCAGGATAGTGTTTTCTCATCTCAAAGCATGGGGACGTTGACACATCCAACAACGCCTAGCCGAGCACCGAGTCGGTGCTTACTGAACCACATTCCTTTATGTCTCATGTCAGTGCTGTCTGTCTCATGCAACTTTCCTCGATTATGGAAGGAAACATGCATCATCTGCAGAGCTAGCCACACATGGCTCCTGAGGATCTGAAGTGTGGCTACTGTATGGAGTACGGCACACAGATACACAAAGGGCAAGGGGACAGAAAATCTCAAGCTCTGGAGCTTTCTCCCTTAATTACCATTCAAGTGCAGTACTCCAATTGGTGGCAAAGGCTGGGAGTAGAAACTGTTACCTATTAGTAAGTCCTCACCTAATGTCATCATCATGAGGTTTTTGGAAAGTGTGATTTTTTTTTTTTTTTTTTTTTGAGTTGGAGTCTCACTCTGTCACCCAGGCTGGAGTGCAGTGGCCGCTCCCGGCCACCGCAGCCTCGACCTGCTGGGCTCCGGCGATCCTTCCACCTCAGCCTTCCAGGTAGCTGGAACTACAGGCGCACGCTACCACGCCCGGCTAATTTATTATTGTAGAGATGAGGTATTGCCAAGTTGCCCAGGCAGGTCTCGAACCCGCAGGCTCAGGCAATCCACTCACCTCAGCCTCCCAAAGGCACGGGATTACAGGCTGAGCCACCGAGCCCGGCTTGGAAAGTGTGATCTTAAGGGAAAGGATAGGCAGGGTGCAGTGGTTCATGCCTGTAATCCCAGCACTTTGGCGGATCCCTTGATCCCAAGTTAGAGACTAGGTTTGGTAACATAAAAAGACCTCATTTCTACAAAAAAAAATTAGCTGGGTGTGGTGGTGCACTCCTATAGTCCCAGCTACTCAGGAGGCTGAGGAAGGACTGCCTGAGCCTAGGAAGTCGAGGTGGCAGTGAGCTGTGATCTTGCTGCTGCATTCCAGCCTGGGAAACAGAATGAGACACTGACTCAAAAAAAAAAAGACAAGGCCAGGCACGGTGGCTCACACTTATAATCACAGCACTTTGGGAGGCCGAGGTGAGAGGACTACCTGAGCCCATGGATTCGAGACCAGCCTGGACAACTTGGTGAGATCTCATCTCTACAATAAATCAAAAAATTAGCTGGGTG